AAAATTAAATTTGTTGAAAAAAAAAACAGAAATAAAAGGAAATCCACTCAAATTTATTACAGATAAAATTAATTTAGTTTCTTTTCTATAAATCGTACTTTAAATACAAGAATATTCGAGCCGTTCGATTTTATATTCTGGTAAAGCAAATCTCGATTAAATCGAAGATATGAGTCGTCGATCGTTAAATAAGAACTCTTACGAACTTCGATGGGGAGCGAATGAAATTCGATTTGAGCAACAATCGGGATCAAATGATTAATCGGTTCGGTGGAGTCGAAATAAAGATATACTTACAAACACGCTTCATGAATTGCTAATCAGATGAAAAATTTAATGGAACGAAAAAGGCGATGGGAGGAGTAAGAAGGCGGACAAGGTAAAACGAACGTCAAGAATTTCAATTCTAAATTTACATTCGGTTTTTCGATTTTTCTGTGAAAGCTTATATCTCTATTCTTGAATACATATTTATATTGTATATATACACGTTTGTCCCTACAAATCGACTTCGTGGAGGGTCGGACAAATAGCGTTGGACGACGCCCTCATAAATTACCGCTAGTTGGTGGCTAACATGTTATTTGCCACCGAGCTTCCCAAATGAGTGCACTTTATATTTAATTACTCGACTCACGCCCAGGGCGTATCCTCACGGCAGACTCACAATCGGTTGGACATAGCTTTGCTGAATGAATATCCCTTCGTTTTGTTTTTCCTTTTCTCTTTTGTTCCCTTTTTTTGTCCCTTTTACAATTAACCACTTTTTCGATTTGTAAGCGCGAAGTTAATTAGTGTTTACGACTTATGGTTTCCAATTTTTCTGTTGAAGTAAAAATTCATTTTATAGTTAAATATACCTGCACGCACTACCCTACATGTTAACACGTTCCTATGATTTCTTTTATAACTACGCTTGCAAAAATTACTTTGTCATGAATAATTTACTAGAAATAACAATTCCATGTGCATCTATATCTATATTTACTTTAAAGCATAGTAATTGATAGGAGAGAAGTAATACTCGATTTGAACTCAAAAGAATTGAGTGGTGTTTATCTTTGTTCACTGCCTTTGTTAACTACATTGATATTTTACTTTCTTATTTCATTTAAACAATTTCTGTCTCAAGTAATTCATTTAGTCTGACATCGTAGATGATCGAGATTGGCTAGAAGGCTGTGGTAATATTATTGGGGAATAGAGCAAGGATAGACACAGGTAAGCGCACATTTTGTTGCCCTAATTATTGGTTCTACCACAATTCCGTGGGCAAGCAAAAAAAAATGGATGAAAGCAATCTATTTTTAAATAACTACCCAATACGACCGAAAAATAATTTCATGTGAAAATGGCAATGCTATTGAAGATCAAAATTTTTTCTACGGGTGATTAGTTTTCCTTATCTATCTCCTTTATTGTCACTGAGAAAGCAAATTGTAATAATAATTATTTTCAAAATATAGAGAGTCTCCTACAATGCAATTTATATTTTGTGATAAAATAAAGTAGCCGCGTCATCGAATCTGACGATAAATCAAACTCTACAAATAATTATGATTTCAGTTTACTTATTTAAATAATGTTTTTTAGTATCTTAAATGCTAATATTACAATGTTATTCATAATATTAATTACCATTCATTATTAATAATTAATAATTGTAATATTCCTATTTAAACAGTTATCTGTGGAATTCAGTTTCAAAAATCTCTTGTAAAGCGTGTAATGAAATAACATACATTAAAATAAATAACTAAATCAAAACGAAAAAGAATTACATGTTTATTAAAAAAAATTATTATTGTTTTAGTTATCAAGATGACAGGTATACTAGTCAAACGCGGTTAACTGATTAAACCTTTGCCCTATGATTTTTCTCGCAACTGTCCTTGATATAACTACTTACGTTATCGTTAACAATTTAATAGAAAGAGAAAAGAATTTGGTAAGTACATGCTCCGTGTCTACGTTCACCCTAGAGTTTAAAGATTGATACTAGACAAGCAACATTCAATTCATATTAACACTAAACAAAGAACATTTAGATTTGTCGAATTCAGTTTAAAATTTGTATCATAATAAGTTTGACACTATATTATAGAAGAAGGGATTAATTAACTCAAGAACATGTCGCATAAGCTTTTTTTCTCAAGAACTCAGAAATAGGGGTTAGACTACTATTGTTCCGAGCGACTCATACAAGTTATCAAATAGTGAGCAAGTTTGCGATGACATGACTGTTCTGGTTAAAAGTACGGAAAATACCAAAGGTTTTTAAGCGGGGGATTATCGTTCCGCTACTTAGGAAGAATTTTGGGACGATGGCGAGGCGATCCCGAAATCCAAGACGGCTGTGTCTGAAGGGAATGACAGAGATCGGGTTGCTTCAGACCACCGTCATGCTTGCCGCAAACTTTATCCTACCTGTTTTCGCTAATTGAGCGAGTAAAGATGTAACTGGACCTTACGCCCCTGAGGTATTTGCACCCTTTTTGTAGATACGATCCGTTCTTTTCCCAAGGTAAGTTTACGATAGACCGCGTTCTTTATTGTAGAGGCCTCATCCGATCAGTTTAAGAATGTTGAAAAAGGTTCTCGTCAGCAGTCTTGTTGATCCACCCTAATATGATGTTGCGAGATAATGAAACTATTATAATTAACACTAGGTATACGGAATGCGACGATTCGATGCATACTAAATTTTATAAACGTTATTTGGTAAATGTTTACGTTAACTTCAATTAACGCAATTGCGCGGGTATGTATCGTAATCGTTTACTTTTAAATCTTCAATTTCCGAAATCTAAATGAATGAACGTCGATTATTCTAGGAACGACAGAATAAACTGTATAATGAATGCCTCTAAACCTAGTGTTGACATTCAAATATATTTATATGTATTTACGGTGTTTATATATTGCATATTTTTAAGTGTATGTATGTGGAATATCTAGAACATTATCAAAGGTACGAAAAATGTGATTTTTCATGCAATTGCGGTATTAAGAAATATACGTTTATGAACATATTACAGAATAATATAATATAATAATAATAATAATATAAAATTTAGTTCATATATATTTCATGTATAATTTTGAGTTTACATTCAATCCTTTTCTGTCTTTTTCTCTAAGTACAAGAAACATGTGTATACTCAATAGGAATACACTTCACACGGGAGAAGATCGTTCGTGAATAAATTTTACATTGGAATGTGGACTATTCTTCCTTTTTGAGCACAAAATCTTTAATTCCCAAAATTCTTTTTAGACAATAGTCTCCATTCGTTCTCAGTTTTTTTGTAGCTGATTGAGTAACTTTTTGGTTATAATAATTTTGTATAAGTCCAGAATAAACACATGTTTTAAAAATCATATCTTGGTGGTGTGAATTGGTGCACTCAGGCTGAGCTGCGATGAAAACATCAAAAACACTCTTAATCAGTATAGAATAAATACTTTATATTAAAGATTATCAAAATGGCGAATGCTTAAACAAGCAAATTCCAAAATTTCTTTTTTCTTCAACAATTTTTTAATTAAAAAAACTACGATGACCTCAATATAAAAATATTATCCTAATTCGTTTCAATATTAGTGATGTCGTACACTAAACATTTCTACAATTCTTTGCACTTGTAATGCCAGCTGTGGTAGAATGCTGCATTACTACAGATATCATATTATTAAACATCATAAAATGCAAATGTGCAAACTAAATTCAATTCATAGGAGTGAAATCTAATGGTTCCTAAGCATAATAAATAAAAAGTTTAAAATTTGACTTAACAGAATGTGTCTAATACAGTAATACAGAAGGAGGGAAATGTACATTAGAAAAATTAGTATGTGGAAGAAATTTGGGGAAGATGGTTAACCCTTTGCCCTATGATTTCTTTCATAACTGCGCTTTCTAGCATAACTTTGTCATTAATAATTTACAAAGAAACAAAGAAAAATTTCTAATTCATCTGTATCCACCTTTATTTCAGAACATACTAATTAGCAACAGAAAAACAGTATTTAATTTGAACCCAAAATAATTGAATGACATTTAATTTTTGTAACTTTCGTTTGAGAACTTGCTCACGAGTCTGAGTCAATAATGTATGGTAAGGGGTTAATTGAATAAGATATGCAGAGGATAAGCTACGAAAAATTACGATAGAAAAAAAGATTTTAAGTTTATTAAATGGGTGAAGTAGGAGGGTATGAGATATGGAAGAATATATGAAGGCTAAGGAACATTTTGTAAACCAACCCCATTTTTTACTCTTGAAACTAGAATTACTAATAAATATATAACAATCAAACTGTAGTAATCAAACATAGAAATTACATAACATAATTACACAAGAGGTATTGAAATAAAATAATCCTATCCATTGATTCCTATTTTATATCCATTCAACAAAATCAATAATCTAATTAATATTTCGTTAGATAACAATAACTATACGTAGCGAAGTTTCGTAAGTAGCGAAAAGCAGAAAAGCGTGTTGTCAAGTGGTGTCAAGTTACTTTTCGCGGCAAGTGCAAGCACGCTTGTATATACTTACATCTGTTAAACGGCTAGGTAATGACTGTGCGGTTCTATACGCACGATTGTGTAGATTGGAGGCGCCGGGTCACCTGTTGCACTAGCCGTGCGTTTAGTCGGGCTCGGTTAACCCTACTACACCCCAGAAATGGTGGGGCGCACCGGCGAGTTCTGATTGGTCAGGCGGCACGTGCTGCACGAGAGTGCCCCGCTCCGAAAACGCATAAATCCGCCGGTATTCTACCACTCTACTTCAGAAACAGCCCAACGGTCGGTCGGACGCGCGTGCACGGAAACACCTTCGAAAGAGGACCTCTCCGACTTTGTAGTACTCATCTACCTCGCAGTAAAACAGGGATACACAAATTACACCTGAACCCCGGAATTCAGTTACCCGAACGTTTGTATGTTTCGTAACCAGTAAATCGTGAATCGGTGCCGATACAGTGGACATATTCAGTGGAGACATCAGCAAACGTCGGGTCTACCAAAGGCGCGCAGTGAAGACTCCGATTTCCGGTTCCGCAGAGTTTCGACCTGGGAAGTCCTCGCTATGGAACTGCAGGAAATGTTTCGTTACGGATACATGTTTCCGCCCAGGGAAGAGGAAGTCGTATCCTGCACGTACTTGGACCTGCCAAATTACCCTTATTCGAAGAGCAAAGCTAATCTGCCACCAGTAAGCACCTTCACGGTACCCCAGTGCATTGTCTATGACAGCAACTGCAGCGACGGATGGCACACGCCGAGTCCAACCGCAAGTTTACGATCAGTTAGTCCTGCTACCACTTTGTCTATATCGTCCGAGCCCGATACTATAAGCATAAGTACCCCAGTAACTTATCGGATCCTAGGTTCTGTGGATGAGTTAAACAAAAGGTACGTTACGAAAAGGATAGAGTCACAGCCAGCGCAGCACGGTGTTAGCGCCATAGATCTAGCGGAGGAAGTGAATAGCATGGACGCGGACACCGATGGGACTAACGACGCAGAAGGCGACGGAGACCACGAGAAGACGCAGTCGCGCCGGGACAGTGTGATCAGCAATTCCAGCAGCATTTCGGACAGAATTGCGGACGGTGACAGCGAAGACGACGTTGAGATGAGCGACGGTCCTGATCACATACGAGCCGATACCGTTGAGATCGATGGCAACCGAGAGGTCGTCAGAAGAAGAGGCAAATACGTTAGCTCGACAATTGTTAGGAAACGTAGATTAGCCGCAAATGCCAGGGAACGAAGAAGAATGCAGAATCTAAATAAGGCGTTCGATAGATTGAGAGCTTATCTTCCGTCTCTGGGCAACGACAGGCAACTATCGAAATACGAGACGCTTCAGATGGCACAATCTTACATTACGGCTCTGTACGATTTGCTACAATGAGAACTGTGGAACATTTTCTTAGGCAATTTGAGCGAATGCGCGCGTTATAGTTTGGCGAAGATAGGAAATTTACAATTTGTTAAGCCGTGCGAACCAGTTAAATGTATTTTTCAAAGGAGTAAACGATTGAATAGCTGCGATTTAATGTAACGAGATGTAACAAGTTATCGTTAAATTTAGGAGGAATGTGATCTATAATGTAAGATTGTTCAATGGAATCATGTGAGGCGTGTTTTTAGGGGACAGACTTCTTTTCTGTAAACTTGATTGGAAAGTGTATTTTCGTTTATTCGGGCCTTTCACTCTTTCAAAGTTTACTTGAAACATTAATGCACCCTATTACTAGCATAAGTGTAATGCATTATTTTTAACGTAGTTTTAATCGCCTAGGACACGACGAATACCCGAATACGTCTATTTATAAAACTTTTGTAAATAACGAGAAAATTGTATATTTTGTAATATAGTAATGTTAAGATAGATAAATTTTACCTGTATTTTAATTAAATTTCACAATAGGAATCGAACCGAGTCATGTACCTATAATTTATTAATGTGCTTTCCTTCGAAGCTGAAGCGCCATGTGTTAAATAATAAAACTATTTTATACAATCTTGGAATCATACTTTATGTTTACCCCGATCAGTATCGCAAAACGAAAGATTCGACATTTGAATATCTCTTCTTTGAATGCTTATATTTCAATATTCTCAAATATTCATAATAAAACGGGATTTCTGGACAATTGCTGATATCGAATTTATAGTACGGCACAAAGTATAATTTGGGACGAAGGGAAAACAGCATCATCATCGGTGGTCTGGTTGTCATACGAAACCCATGCGACGCGTCGGTGCCCGGTTTCATTGCAATTTGAGATCCAGCAGCGTCCTTCATTCGACGATGACTCTTCCTTCGAACTCTTTCTCTTCATCTTTTTCACCTGTACCTTCAATATTGGCATCCCTCCGATCTTCTCTTATTTACAATTTTATATTTGGACAGTTATATTGAGATAAAGGGTGAAAATTTTGGCATAAGAACATTATCATTGGGGAAAATACGGTTAAATTATGAACTTTGATTGCTTTAATAATAATATAATACTATTTTCTTATTGATCAATTTTTCGTCCTACAATAAAGTGATCATCAAATAGTCATTTTTATGTGTATTTATCTTATACATATATTCGCAGTATAAAAAATGTTTGACTTTCATTTACGTTGAATTTTTCGCTATAATTATATATTTTAATTATCTCTTCCAATTATCCCTTACAATAAAATACATATATTATTACGTTCAAATTCATCAAAACATTTGCTTTACACCAACATCGCTTATAAGTATGAAATAAATCGAACATAATTGTAATACCAAAAAAGGAATGCGTAAATTATGACACTATTTCGTATTGCATTATTACTTGAATCAAATTATAAATATTACTGCACTTATCAAATTTAGTTGGACATAAGATACAGGGTATCGAAAAAAAACAAAAATGGTCTCCCTTGGAGAGGGATTTGTACCTGAGTCTATTAGATGGGTGTATCGAACACTCATCGCACAGCTACCGCACGTGCAGTTCACGGTTGAATTATTTTTTGCAAATATGAATTTGCATTATGAGATTGAATTGTTACACAATACTTATAATTCGAAATCGTACAAATCTAATGATTTCGTTTCGAGTTATTCAAAACCGTGTGTTAAGATATTCCAGAATCACGCATAAAAGAAACCATGCAATTGAAGTACAGTTGTGAGATCACTTGGTGTCTAGTGGAATAATGTAGCGGTAAAAAGTGTCTTTCTAGTTTAGAGTTTTATAGTTTTTATTGGTGACGTGTAACCCTATTGACAAATATCAAACTGATGATCGAAAATACCAGAAATTGGAAAATAAAACCAACAGAAAACAGAATGAGAAAATTGTAAATTTATTGATCAGCTGAATTCCTCAATCTAGCCATCAAGCGATCTCATAGCAGTATGTAAATATTGTACTACACAATTAGTAATCCGATTTTTGCAATTTTTGACCGTGTTATTTGAGACCTGGTGTAACTCAAGCACCGTGTCATTCGAGGGTTGCCCGTATAGTTCAAGGATTCTATTGTACAAATATTATATCTTGAAATAATATCTTCACATAAACATGAATGTAGAAATTCTACTTCGTTATTTAGGGTTAAACAAACGATCGTTGGCGTGCTGTGCGAACATAAAAAGAAAAGAAAACAGTTTCATTCTTCGCGATGATCGTTATAATGGTTAAAGTAAACTCCACTCTAGCAACCCTATGAGCGACTCACAGTTGCACAGAAACTGCAAAACCTTTCGGATAGAACAGACAGAAGAATTGAATTCTATTGCAGAATAGAAATTAGAAAAGCATACAATGTTTCGTCCGTGTTCACAGAAATTACAAGAATACACCTTGAATCGGGTAACATCTTTTCGACAGCTTCCTTACTCGCCACTGAGCATTTTGTCGATTCTTCAGTTTTATACTTTCAACAGTTATCATCGCGATGAACCCTTAACGTAGCTATAAAAGGGTAATATTTGCAAGAAACTTTGTAATTAACCACTAGCCATAACTTTGCCATTAACCCTTTACGGACGAAGATTTTCTAGAGTATCAAGAATTAACTTCGTGGAAAGCAATATTACATATCGACATCTTAAATAATAGAAAAGAAGAAAACTATGCGCTAATTTTTCGTCATTTAAATGTTCAAATTATTTGTTTATAACTTTTTATTCCACATATGAAAGCCAGATGACTTAAGTATGACGGCATTCGTTCTGAAAGAGTTAATTCATCCTAAAGCAAAAAAGAATTCTCAATTTATCTACATCCACGTTTATCTTAAAGCATGACCATTGATAATAGAAAAATAATTTTATTTAATTTGTGCCAAATATAATTGATCCAGTCTTTCTAACTCCGATTTGAGAACTTCCTCAGGAGTCTAATTCGATATTGTAAGACAAGGGGTTAACAGAAAAAAGTTCGTATAGTAATATTTTACCGTCGAAAAGTCCCAACACTTAGTTTCATATTGATTCCTTTATCTTTCATTTCCAGGTACGACACCTCGGACGAAGGTAGACCACGAGAATCTTTACACGCTCGATAGAAATCACGCGACATCTTTCTTCGCCGCTGAAAGATGGAGATCCAAAGTCAAATGGCCCGTCCCGGCTCGATGAAAAACAAAAGTGGCAAAAATAAAGTGGAATATCTTAGACGGAAGAACGGGTAAACGCTGTTGAATGCAATTAATTTTTCGAGAGGCTGCCGCCTCCGCTTTGTCAAAAGGGGGCCCCTTGACAAAGAGAAGGAATCTGGATCCGCAAGCAGTGACCAGTGGCCACTGTCATCAAAATACTCAAAAGGGTTGGGGACGGGGGTTGCGTGGAGGTAGTAGCTGGAGAGAAGTGGGAACGGGCTGAAGTAAAATGGAGGATGAAAGACAAACGCCGCCGCGTTGTCGTTGTCTGATCGTGGAGATTGCTTTATTTGAGTCCGTTTAGCGTGGAGATCCCGAAACCCTGCTGAATATTTTGTCGTGCCCGCCACCACATCCAGCCTTCTATCTCTACCGGGAAGCACAAGACAGAGGCGTAACGCTTTAAACATTGAAATAATGTAATCTGCCGACTGGAATCAAGCGATAAATATAATCGGCCGGTTGAAATTTGTCGGTGGCGAGCATTTGGCTGTTTATGCCCGCCGCACCTGTGCTGCTTTGGTATCAAGATCGATTTTAACCGGTCCCGACAGGCGATAAAAATCGATACGCATCCCCCATCAATTTTTCTTTTTGCATTTTGAGTGTAGGAAGAACTATAAAAGATTGCTATTAGGTTATTAGATTTCATTAGGTTTTTATTTTGATTTTTGTGGTTTTCGAAGATGAAAAGTTTTCAGAATAGTAAATGTTTTGAAGCATGGATGATCTAGAAATTTTGATAAAATGTATACAATCGGAGCTCGATTAACCTGTTAATTGTAGTTAAACTCAGCTCAAATATACCCATAATATATTCTAACGAAACATTAATGCAAAACGAAGAAGAATTATACGTTTATCCGGAAAAATAAATAGTTCATCGTTAAAAGAATTAGTATCATTTTGACTTTTAAGATGACGTGTATACTCGTCAAACGCAGTTAACGGGTTAACCGAGTCGATATTTTCAGCGATCTAGAGCTTTGTTTAAATTGGAATTCAATAATTCAAACTTTTAGATTGTGTTTGGTAATACATACGATCGAATTTTACAAATGCATTTTCAAAAATTTCTTTTCAAGCCTCCATTTATCCGAACTGTTAGTTGCCCAATTAAATCAGATAATCGACGTACCACTGTACCTCTATTTTCTGTTGCCTTCTATTGTTATTGGAACTTCACCATTCGTATGTTAATAGAAAGTATTTATTCATCTCCGTCCTACTGTTGCGTTTCCGTTCGGTTTCAATGACGTATCAATTAAAATGAGAGATCAGATAAAAATCGAGCTGAAAAGGGGGAAGCGGTTGCTTGATATTTTATGCAATTCGCTACACCGGAATTACCAAGTGCAGCCCGGTGCACATAAATCAATCGCGTTTCGTCAACGACGTTCAGTTGAACTCACTCACGTGACAAACTAGCGCAATTCAGACCACCTTTGTTGGGACAATTTCAAAGTTGTGTTTGTATGGTTTATTCACGAGGTCGGTTTCTTCTATCGTGCTCAACCAGAATATTCAATAGCTCACGACGAACAGTCACAGCGAATATGAGGACCAAGAAGTTGAAGACAGTGGCTAACCCGCGAGAAGATCAGATTTATTGCAAAAAAACTGTGAAATGTAGATGGAAGAGTAGTCTTAACACTAGGTTTACGAATGTTTATTGTACCGTTTATTCTATTGTTTCTAGGAAAATTAATGATCGTTTGTTTAGATCTTGCAAATTAGGGATTTAGCCCTTAACGATCGACAATTTTCTATTACCTCTTTACAGACGGGACAGTCTCAAACTTTTGACATTTCTTTTCATAAAAAACTGAATTATGCATGGAAGTCTTAAATACTAAAAGCTCGAAGTCACTATTGCGGAGACATTCGATTGCAAAAATTTAAAAATAGATGGAGCGGAGAAAGCTTTTTCAGAAAAAGTTTTTGGCACTAGATTTACGAGACGCTTTAGTTTGACACATATCAAGTTTAATAGTAATACATAGTAATATATACTATTTAATACTAATATGTATAATTTGTATATTACTATACATGACTATTAAATTCAATATACATCAAATTGACGTGTTCCGTAAACCTAGCGTCAGAAGCTTTTTCTGGAAGAGCTTTCTATGCCGTACCTTTTGTTTCCACTAGTGAGAATTGAAGAATTCCGAATAAAAAACCAATTTTACGCTGACGTCTAACATCTTCTCTGCATCATACGTAATTTTTCTCTCATAAACACACTCTGACTTCAACTAACAGTTGGATGTTAAACTACCACATCGTTTGAGCGTGTAGTTCATATATAATGTATTGACAAACAGATTTAATCATTGTTAAGCATATAGGAACAATGAAACGAAGGACCCAGCAATTTTATGATAATCGTAAGAACTGTCTTCAGAAACATAAAATTATGAAACGTTCGACGATATATTGAAACTTAAGACGACTGTGTGGAAAACTAATTATACAGAATTATAAATAGGGATTTAGAGACTTTCTTTTCCTCGCACTAAAATGTTACTCTTAGAAAATAAATTACAAAAAGTTATAAGTAGGAATTAATTAGAGAAATGTCATTAATAAAAGTTCCTTCTTTTATATTGTCAATTTTGAGTCTCACTACACTGATTATATTACTTCGTAGATCAAAATAAGACTATAATGTGGTATATAAAAATATAATATAATATAATATAATATAGTATACAAAATAATAAAATACAAACTATAATAATAATATAATATAATACAAACTATATAAAAATTTGTATGTCCGAAATGTAATAACCATACGAAATTTGTATTAAATTGATGCCAATAGGCCAAGAATTACTGTGACGATAGAAAATCAGATTAAAAATTTGTTAGTACACTATATGTTGTTCGAGGTTGTGGATGTAGTATGTTTTTAAACGTTTCCAGCCTAGGTACGTGGTCTTGCGAGTGCTTCCGGCTTATAAACGCAGGTAGAAAGTGTGGTCGATCCTGACGAAGGCAACGAAAAACACGACCGCCCATTGTGAGAGATTTGATGACCCTGTGGGCTCACCGTCGGGCTTATAAATTGGTAAAGGATCTCCTACCTTTGATCGGAACGATGAAATAAGAACGAAACTATCACCCGACCCAGGCTGTACCCGTGTTCGTGATTTTTCATAATACGGCTTCTTCTTCTTAAGTTATATTCCAGAAGTCACATTGTGATAGATATATGTTGCAATTCGTAGTGAAAAAATGCATAACTAGAGTGGAGTATCACGGAAAGTATCGTATAAACGAAATCTATGTTGCCGAATTATTTTCAGATAATGAAACTAACAACATATGCATACAAAATCAAACTCCTTACAATGTCATTTTTAGTTGTGCTACAAATCTATAAACTATAAATTATACATAATATTGCACCATATTTAAGATGAAATATTCGATGCATCGAATAAACAAATTTTTCGATTTCTGAAGATCCAGAAATTACTCTTGTTTATCTTTTTTTTTAAATGGTGATGCATTTTGTTTATATGCCAGTGAGCAAATTAAAGAATTACAAAATTTCTATTTCCACTGACACAGTTTTCATTTAAAGTTGAATAAAACAGTAAAAATATGTCATACATGAGGTTTTAACACTAGCTTTACGGACATTTATTGCACAGTTTATTCTATCGTTCCTAAAAGAATTGACGTTTGTTTATTTAGATTTTGGAAATTAAAAGTTCAAAAATAGACAATTACCATACACATTCGTATAATTAAATCAATCAAAGTCAACGTAAACATTTACCAAATAGTGTTTATGGAACTTAGTATGCGTTAAATTGATACGTTTCGTAAACCTAGTGTTACGAAGTCGTTGGACAGAGAAGTCTTCATTCTTCCATAGTAAAATCGTTTTCGAAAAAATATTTTAGTGTACGTAGAGAATTTTGCTTAAAGCGAAATTATGAAAACTAAAAACTATGTTTATTCTCAAATTCGTTGTCTAACGATAAACACGTTACGGAAGATGACGAGTATAGGTTCCAAAAGTAGAGGCTTGGTATTTTAAAATAAATCGAATTGCAAACTGACCGCTCTTCACCTTTTTTTCATAAAGAACCACTTTGAACTTGAGCAACTTTTCAATGAAAATTTTCTGATGCTTTGGTTTTGCTTACTACTATAACACTAAGTTTAAGGAACGCGTTAATTTCACATATATTGAGTTTTATAAACATTATTTGGTAATTTTTTACGTTGATTTTGATCGATGCAATTATACGAATATGCATCCTAACTGTTTATTCTTAAACCTCTAATTTCCAAGATCCAAATAAACGAACATCAATTTTTCTAGGAACAATCGAATAAACTGTACAATAAATCTCCGTAAACCTAAGTAACGCTAATGTAAATGGAAATGGTATGTAACTCAAAAACTTGTTTCCAAGAAAAAAGTTTTTACGTGAATTTATTGTAACCATTAATCGTTGTAAATCGGATCATTACCAGCTTTCTAAACCCCTTGCATGGTTAAATATTATCAATACTCTCAAATGTAATTATAGTAATGATATACAAGATCTTAATCATGTACTGTGACAGTGTCCCTTGCTAAACACTCAGAGAGTTGAATTCTTGGATAAATTGAGCAAGTGCCAACTATACACACTAGTAAATATTAGATCACTGTTCTACGAGCCGAATATTCAAGCGTGCCAACTTATGCATCAATTCTATAGTATATAATATTTTATGTAAATTCCAAGTATAGCTTTATAACTGTCTGCTGAGAGTTTCAGTTAATCTTTAAATAAAAATAAAAAAATAACAAAATTCAGAAACTTGAAGAAACGTTGTTCGAGTAGGTTTGTATTATCTATAAATAATAGGGATGATATATATTTCCGTTCCAAGAAGGGAAGGGTAGGTTTCACGAATTTGAATCGACACATCGTTATAGATCAAAACTTTCGGGAAAGGTACCCCTATTCTCCAGCGGCGCTATGACACAATGCCGACTGCACACAATCGCACGCGAAACGAAGTGTGCCCGTTGAACCGATTTGTTTGTTCGGCCGGTCCGCGATCGAATGAAATCCGCTTAATGTAATCGAAGGGTTTTCGCTCTCGAGAAAGGTTGCACGGGTTTGAAAACACGTCGGAGAGGGTCGCTCGACGTTGAGCGTGGGTACGGGGTGCAAGCGAAAAGCGGATGGGAAAGTTAAAAAAGGGGGAAAGGGAAAGGGAAAGAAAGGGGCAGAGTTCGACACACGCGACACGAGCTTACTTTTAGTTTTTGCAGGCTACTTGAAACAACCCTAGGGGCATTAATTTCGTTTAATCAAACAGCGATAATACTTTCGATGACCCTCCATTTTGTTTGCCGTCATTCTTTCGTGCTATGTTAGGTATACCACCAGATTTATTAAAGAACAAGCGTTCCCGACGTTAAATATGTTTTTATGCATTCCGTAAATCGACTAGGAAACAAATGTTTCTTAACAGTAGGACAACCGAGATTTTAACGCTATTAACACGTTGATTGCCACTTGAGCATTTTATGTATCATTGACCAAAAACTTGAGCATTTTATGTAACATTTATTCTTTTGTAGGGAAGATAAAAAGGAACTATTATCAATTATTTGGCACCACAGTTTTTAGATTACACTATTATTTACTTACTTAAAGCTCTGGTCATTAGTGACCATCGTGGCAATCAACGTGTTAATATGTAATCCTTATAAAAATGGTAACAATTTTTTGGGTTTCTTTTCATGTTAATTATAGTATTGAAGTGAAACTATTTATTTTTCAAGTTATTTCAGGTATGTAATGCTTTTAAGATGTCAATAATTGCGAAATAAGAAAACTGAAACCCGAAATTTAGAAGGGCGCAGTTGTTTTAGTGTTAACACTGTTTTTAAGACACTTTTAAAAATTCTAACTCAAAATTATTTTCTAAATTTAATCTTTTTTATTTTTTCTGTAATGATTATAAATTGAATTTTTTGGTATATGATTTTAGTAGGTTATATTAAATTATTTATTAGATTGTATTTAATAATTTAATATATTCGATTAAATAATTTCTTAGTAGGAGTAAGTACATACAAGAGAGCGGCGAAAATAGTATTAAATAGTTATCACAAGTACTTGTGACGATCGCAATGAGTGTAGCAGATATTAACCAGTAAAATGCACGTAATTAATATGAAAATAAAAATTAATAAAAAAATTGATTATTCCACTTAAAAAACCGGTTATTTATTTCTTACATATTATTTATTCTGAGTTATATCAAAATTAAATTTGTTGGCAAAGCATAAAGTTTATAAGTTAGTCAGTACTCCTATTAAGCAAATTATATTTTTAATAAAGCGTTTAAAAAGGTGGCAATAAAATATAAACTCAAAATATACGTTTGCTTTATTATTCAAAGAAAAAGTGTAATATGTTAAAGAATGATGGACAAATTTTCGAAAATAGAATACAATACTAAAAACAAAAGTAATCGGTCACTGTAAAAAAATAGTTGATTATTCATCGTTACGAAAAATGAATTTTATCGTGACAGTTGTATCGTATCATATATGTTTCATATAAATTGCAAAGAAACATCTGTAAAATAATCAGATACACTTGATTTTATGTTTACTTCAGTTTCCTTATTACCACTGTTGCATACATATGGATACTTACTTACATATCCCGACGTTCTTTAATCAATAATCCTTTGACAAATCTACATCTAAATAGATAAGACACTTAATGCATAAAAACAGATTCGTTGCATCCTTTTACGTGTAGAACGCACACCTTCGAATACCCACTTTATATACCTACATCATAATCATTCCTTTTTTGAAGCTTTATCGGCTCGATTGTCAATTTCCCAATGTTGTTCAACGTCATTTTTAATATCGATCAATAAACTTTGCCTGCATAATCTGGCAATCGTGCTCAGATTGTTCTGTTCCTTGCCACATATGAGTCGAACGAAGTTAAACTTGTTAATAATTTTCGTGAGAGATCCTCCAGACTGTTGTTGCTTCGAATTAGTTCTTGGAAGAGACTCGCATCCTCGATCAGATTCCATCAGTCGCTTAAGAACATCAGGATCTACGTTTATCACGCCAATGCTGGCAGACTTTTCACGGATGGGCAGAGAAACATTTGCGTTTCTCAATCCCTCTTCCACAACTGTCATATCTCCGTCCACTTTCGTTGTTTCCTGATTCGGATCGCACGAATTCGAGGCTTTCGCCGATCTCACTGTATTATTATGTCTTTCCGTTGCATTCAGATCATTTATGGCCTGAGAATTGTGACCATTGAACGTCGGAGGTTCCATTACGGAATGGAAAAGTGGACCACCGCGTCGCGACAAAAAGTCTTCCTTCGCGCGACGTGTTCTGAGAGAATGCGATTCCACCGACAGCTCTTCCGGAATTGCATTATTTCGACCGTCCCTTCTAGCTACAACGCCAGACAGAATCTGCAGTTTGTGCATAAGATCGGCAGAATTCGGATTGAACTCCAAAGGCAGCGCCATCGCTTTTCCTTTCTCTTCTTCCTGTCTTCTTCCTCTAGGTGCTGTAACATCGATGAATGTTCGATTATGCAGTTCGCTCGACATTGTCTTCTTCTCTTTATTTACTAATCCAATCGTTGCGTTTACATTTGGTAAAGATTGTAAGTCGCATTTTGTCTGCGGTTTCTGGATATTATTTTCACTGGACGATAATGATGTTTCATCTCTCTGTGGATCAGTATCTGCTTCCGCTTTAGCGTCAGCTTCTTTTGTCTTTGTTTCTTTTAATTCGATTTTTTTCGAAGATAGACAAAGTGCCCATGGCAATGAGAAAGACGTTCTCACCAGTATGTCCCGTCGATTTATTTTGGGGGATGCCGATCTCGATTTGTCTTCATTTTTCAAGGACAACGTTTGATTATCCTCGAAACTTTTGCTTTCTTTCCTATTAGCGCGGTAATCTTCCCGGCGAAATGGGGAAAATATTATGCGTTTCGTTTTAGTAAACACGTTACGAGTTGGAGAGTATGGTTTTCTCGTATTTGTTCCTGGTCTAATTGCATTTTCGTTATTACTGGATTGACAATCGCGCTCTCGTGTCAAATTATTTGTCGCTGATTCATCGATCAGTTGCTGCAAGGTTCTCATGCTTTCTGCGCAGCTATCGCTCACTGTGGAATTGGCTGGTTTTTCGTGACACGGTGAAGATTTCGAGGAAACTGTCCGTATTGGTGATTCAATATTATATTTATCGTTATCCGAACTTTTGGTAGGTAACTTTAAAGTTGAAATATTTTCAAATGTATGCTCTTGTCGTTGTTTCTGTGTCACCATCGACTCTTTAAATATTGCACCTCCTATGATACAGTTATTTTGTTTCTCGTGGTTCGAACCCTCAGTGCATGATTTTAACGACTGACGGTCTAATTCTGACTTGATTGTTAATAAACTGTGTTCTTTATTAAGATTGCGCGAACCATTTTCACTTTCTCGGTTCGAATGGTACAAGTTTGCATAGTCAGGTTTTTCTAAAAATAATGAATATTTATAAAAACGTGTTTAGATTATACAATGTGTAAAGTATACGAAATAAGAAAGGTCACTTAAAAGGTCATTATGCTTCACTGAAATAATCTGCGCAAAGATTGGAGTTTTTGTATTGATTAAATAGAAATATTACAATGCTATTAATAATATTAATCACTATTAATTATTAATATTAACAATAATATTAGTAAATTAAGTTGTAATAAACATTATTTAAATCAACTAAATAGTATTATTGCAATGCTAATAATGTTAATTACTATTAAGTACTAATATTAATAATTGTTATACTAATATTTAACACCAGAACTACCGTACCAGTCAGAATGACTGGTTTCGGTTTTTTTTATTTCCGAATCATTAATATCTTCAAAACATTGAATATTCGAAATGAGTTTGAAAATAAATAGTTTCATTTGAATACTATAATGAATGTCTGAAGAAACTGAAAATAATTTATTATTACAATTTTTACAGCGATTACATACCAATCGTATTAAATGCTCGGTAGTTCTTGAGTTAATTAATCAAAGAATATTGCATAAAGTCTATTTTTCTCAAGAATTCAGAATGTGGTGATAGTTCGTACTATCCTAAGCTACTTATATGTGCACAAATATTGAAAAAATACTGACCTGATTTATAAACACCTGACGATTTCAATGATGCTTCTTTGTTGCACGTTTTATAGTTCGTCAATGGCTGCGTATCTATGAGTGAACAGTAATATGGATCTACCACCGATTCTACATTCTCATATTTGTTATCGTGTTCCGTAACAATGTCGGTGACGTTCTCTACGTTGCAGCTGTCCCCAACTTCTTCGGTCTTCTGATCATCAGATTCTTTTTCGTGCCTCTTCTCGCTCGATAAATCCTGGTTGTACCGACAGGATGCTAATTTTGATTGTGCTATAGTAAAACTTATTTCTCCTTAAAGTGTTATTTTCATTGTTATTCCCGTATTTCGAAAAACAGCGTGAACAAATTTTGAAAAAAATCATCCGATTTCGAAAAATAATACACAGTTGTGATGCCACAAAAATAGTTAAAAACAAAATATCAAATTTTTATTTCTTTTTTTCTGTTCAATTAGTAACAAACAAGCTATCGTTTATATTAACAATGTTCGGTTAGTAAAAAGTTATAACATGTAGTACCTAATAAAAAAATGTTTGCATTGAGATAATGCAATAATGTATAAAATTTACCGTCGATTCTTTCCTGCTTGTTGGAAGAGTAGAATATTTTCCGTTCCTTTCGTGAATAGTTTTGCGTTTGTCCGACCCTAAGATACGTATTAAACAAGAAATTCTCAATATTTTTACCATCAGGAAACCATAAAATAATTGATCTCTGTAGTTTCTAACTCACCATCAAGTCTAATTTTTCTAGTAGCTGTTTTAACAATATCCCCTTCATTAGAGAATTCGATTAAAATTTCTTTCCTGAAAACATAAAAAAAACTATGATGGTACAATTGTTTGTTTGTTAACGTGTTTCATTAATGTTTCATATACTTCTCATCGTTCAATTGGTCCTTATCTGCTGTTTTTGTGATTTTTTTTACAATGTCGCTTGTTTGATTTTGATCGATCGAACACGTAACATTCTCACTTTCAACGGTTTCTTTTTGTACATTTGGATCGACGTGATGAAAACTCTCATTGGACGAACATTTCAAATGTTCATCTTTCTCATGCAAAGAAAGTCTTCTGTCAGTTCGAACGTTTTCCAAGTCAAAATGTTGAAAGCTAGAACTGTCCTTTTTCGAAGAACTATCACAGTGATCTCGTTTTCGATTGGAGTTTTCCTCTATTTCAATCAAGAGCAACGGGGACAGTTGATGACTGGATGTAACTGTTCCAAGTGGTACTGCGATGCTAGTTGTTTCGCTAGTAGCAACCGAGTACACAGGCGTTTGATGTGGTTGCATTCTCTTCAGGGGACTCGCAGTCTCTTCAATAACATCTTCGATGTCAACTATCATCGCTTCTGGTTCGGAATCATCCATCAGAATGTCTTCGGTTATTTCTTCCATCTCATGGCGATCATCTGCGAAATAAATAAACAAGACAAGAAATAAGACTAAAAATTTGTTCACGACAAATATGTACAAATGTAACTCAGCGTTCATATTGAACTTGAACATATTCTTACTTTATATTTTAATTAGAAGGATTTTATCCTTCGATTTCGTTTAAAAAAAATGATTATTTTTATAAGTGAAGGTTCATCAATTTAAATATAGAATTCAAAGAATTTTCATTAACCCCTTGCCGTATAACATCATGTCGTTAAGAAATAAATCATAGGGCAAGGGGTTAAACAGAAAATACAAAGAAGCGTGATCATCTGATATATTAAGTTGTCAATACTTACTTGAGATTAACAAAGTGCTGAGATGATTGGAATCTTTTAGCGTTTTTTCCAAGTGATTTAATAATTGCAAGCTCATCGAACGACGTATAAATGACTCGGTTAGGCTGCTTCTTACGTTTGGATTATCGGCGGACTTCGATCTCCGCAAATTGCGGATATTGTAAAATGCTTGATCGCTGCATCCAAGTTCTAAAAAATTTATCACGGTTCAAGCAATTATTGTTTTTCGAAATTATTTTCCAATTGGTAATGTGGTGCAGTCTTACTAGTCGCAGATGTCATCGGAACTTCGATATTCGTTTCTCTAAGGACCGGTTCAGAAACGTGCCCCAAAAGACGAAAGGTCGAGGATCCTGGAGATATTCCGCGAAACTTCTCCCAATCGTATAGTTTCCTCGTAAATTCTTGTGATATTCCTTCAAACCTGTAAGAGCCAGCGGCTGTCTGCACCAGAACTTCATCAGTGTAGTTTATATTCCGTGCAGGATCAACGTATGATCTGAAGTACGAAAAAAAGATTAACATTGAAAATGTTAGGGGTACCAGAAAGTAATGTCGTCTCGGTTTGACGTTTGTCGTTGAATCAATGTTTCAATCTTCGTGTGAATCAAATTGACGATCTATTAATGCTAAAATAATCTCAAATACTGTCCACATAAGCTACTTAATTTTTCCTGGAAGATTCATTATCATTTAAGAAGAATCAACTCAGATAAAATGATGAAGGAACATATCCGACATTATGTGTTATATGAGTTTCGTATAGGAAACAATGCTACAATATTAATGAATATCGAATAATGAATCTGAACAATATTAATAGTGTTTATCCGGAAGTCCTAAGTGTCTGGAACTCTTAAAGTCTGGAAATACTGTTACCACCAACCTTTATTGCGGACAACTAACACGCCTAAGCAGTACAATTGCGAAAAAAAACGTCCTGCTATGGTCAACAGGAAGGGTGTTATATTGCAGCACGATAATGCAAGGCTGTATATTGCAAAAATCACGTAGCAAAGAATCAGAGAACTTTACAGAATTTTTTAAATAGTAAAAAATTGTTCAATTATGAAGATATTAAGGATGGAATACAAAAATATTTTAATGAAAAAGCAGGGGATTTTTATAAAAGGAACATACAAAACCTCGTTTCCAGATGGCAAAGTTTCGTAGGCAGTAATTGCTACTACCTCACTGATTGAATGTTTCATGTACAATTTAAAAAATTTAAATGAACTTTATGTTTAAGAAACGACATTCCTTTCCACTAGCCCTAATATATCAAGTTTTTTAACACTAGAACTACCTAGCAGTCAAATCGACTTCTTTTTATTCTTCTACAGAGATTTTAAAAGTATATTTATTGAGATTTTCATTGGGTTGGAGTAAGCCGAACAGAAATAGAGTACTTTCTTTTAAAAAGAACTATTATATCATAAATATCATTAACACCAAACGAACCGCGACCGGTCAAATGACGGGCTTTAAAATTCGATTTAAAATTCTGCATTTTGTTCATTTAACATTAAATCAATTCCTATATCATCCGATAAATCAGTTTTCCAATTATTCTCTTTCCTTTTGTTTCTGTTTTCAATAAGAAAAATTTATCATCTAACTTGTTTACCTTTATTTTATAATCAATTATTTAACTGGTTACGGTAGGAATATCGGTACCTTCAGTGTTAATACCTAACAGAAAGAAAATATATTCGTGAAATGAAATACATATAAAAAGAATAATTGAATAGACCGCTGTACAAGATTCAGTACACCACTAAAATCAATTGAAAATATAGATATTTGAAAATTTAAGAGATTGGGCCATCTCGCCCAGAATTACCCTATATTTTAGTTTGTACATTACCAAATCAAGTTATTTAGTAATCTCTCTGAGAAGAGTTTGTATCTTTTCAATAATTGTAAAAGAAGGAATCAGGAGCGAGTTGTTTTGCTCTGCCTAGTAGTTTCAGTGTAAAATAATTACTTTGCGTTTCCGTCGAAAAACTTATTCGGTTGTTGGGCATCATTCTCTCTTCGTTTCTTAGTAGCATTGCCGTTAAAAAGCGACAATGCTTTTTCTAAAGTTAAAAATTCACTCTCATCGATGCCAGACCCGATTCCAAGGCGATTTAATTTGGGTCGCGCTGAATGCTCCACATCGCCGTTGGTTGTTTCGTTTATCCGTTTCCGTACGTCCAGTTTTTGGAAAAAATTCTCGGGCAAATGCGATTTGTCGCCATTAATAACACTTTCCCCGCAATTGTTATGTTGACTGGTGATTTCTCGATGTCTGCACTCAATTTTCAAAGGAGACTTCCATAACTGCCAGTCAGTCAAGCGACGTCGATTGAACCTCTGTTGCTCGTAAGGTGCGCTGCCTCTTCGCTCTTTCTTGATGCGTTTCCAGTCTTGAAGCTTCTTTCGAAATTCGAAAGACAGACTTTCCTCGGATAGAAATGAAATAGGATGTTCTCGAGAATTTACGAAATTGGATGAAACATCACGACTGCGTTTCGTGTGGGGACTGGGAGATAAGTTCTTCAAGCGTTCCCATTCTATGAGTTTACGATGGAATTCAGTTCCCAGCTTCTGTCGAAGAACTCGATAATCTCGTCGAGTATCTGATTGTGCGTTCAGTGCTGCTATTTCAAGGTCTTCTGCACTAGCACTGCAACTGTCAGGTGTTGATGTTTCTTGACCTGTCACGTACAGTTGAAGAAATTATTTGACTTGCTTTGAGTAAGTGCTATTACATGCTGAATATAATTATATGTATACAGTCAGCAACAAAAGTACTTGAATGTTATCTATGCTTAGACACAATAAATGTTCCATAATTTGTATATTGCTGAATATTTTAAAAGTTTTATTGCGTGTACATAGTATGCATGCAATTTGTTTCAATAAATAGCAATACACGGTGTGCAATTTTTTTAATGATAATTTATTTCTCACTATGCTGTTCAAATACTTTCGTTGCTGAATGTGTGTATATATACGTGCAATTATTAATAACCAATCAGCAATTGTTTACTCGTACAGTAGATTTATTGTATATATATTTTTAGAATATTAAACTTGTTAGACTCTCATGTTCGTACATCGAAACGTATGGATGGACGCCATGATAAATTTTCACATCTCTGAACGTTCCATATCTTGAAAACTAATTGCTCAAACTAAAATAAATGGTGATTAATGTCTTATTACAAAGTAATAATAATAATAATTCAAAACGAACGAAAAACAATAATATAAACTTTGGTAATAAAGTTATAAATATAAATTTTATGCTCCGGACTTTCAAAACGTCATAATGTAATAAATATTGTAATATTTACATTTTGCATTATGAACAAATAACATGCTAAAATTTAACTCTGTTCTCCGAATCACAATAGTTTTTTTGCAAACTTTACATAGTATGTATTAGTTAACGATATGTAATCTGAACGTTACAATTATAAAATTTCTTTCGTAACACCGATTACTTCATATCCATAGCAAAGGTTTGGCATGTTCACTTCAAAATTATCTACTTTCGTAATTCCAAAAGCTGATAAATTTCTAAATGTTCCTAGATTTCTTCACTGCAAGCTTTATCAGGATAATAAAGCATTCTGTAGAAGATCTCAGGATAACAAGAATGAGACGGGATCATCAAAATGTAAAGAGTATCAAGACAGACGTAACCGATGTTCAAAACCATCTCATCAATTTTTGTGTTGTAAAAAGTTATTTGCAAAACCTGTTCCAAAAGTATGATAATTATTTCTATTTTCATTTTTATCTGCTTCGTAGTTAATTCCTCCAATTAGTGGAATCTCCCTGAGAAAAATTAAAATTATTTACACAGGTATTTGATAAATATTTTGTTCCGTTAATTTTAGTGCAAAGGACAAACGGTTTTAGAAAATTATAAAAAAATACGCGAAGATGCAACAAATCGTAAAAATTCAATCGTAAAGAGTGTTGAAGAAAAATCACAGTCAATATTGAATCAATTAAACTATTATGTAAACACAGCAAAGAAGAAAGAAGAAATAAAATTAGAAAAATTTTCCTCGGCCAATATGAAGAAGTTAGACAAAATAATAAATTTGGATCCTTCGTTCGGTTCAACGACACGAAAATGTGCGTTGTCCTTTAATTATCAACTTAGACAACACATTCAAAAACTTCAATGCGATTTATTATCAAAAGTGCTCAAATTAACAAAAATTATGGAATCTCTAAAACAAGATATATTGATTTGCGTAAATCAGGCTGAATCTCTAATAATGTCCTGTCGTAAATCGAAGAATGTTCAGGCATTAAATGAATGTGTTGAGAAAAATAAATATAATGTGATAAAAATATTCGAAGAAACATTGGAGGGCGCACAAGAAAGATTAAAACGGATTGATACATATAAGGAACACATTATCGAATATCATAAAGCAGAATCTGCGAAGACTATCGAAATGTGTCGTAAAGAAAATGAATTATTTTTGAAACATTTAGAAGACTGTATCTATAATGCAACAAGCAACCGCAAATAAAACACATTTAAAATATAAAACTGAGTAAAAATTGTTATAGTCAGTGGCGGCTCGTAGCTTGAAACCATAGGAGTAACTTTCAAAATATATAAATATGTTTAAGAAAATATCAAAATCATGGTGAAAATTAAAAAACAAATTATATATAAAAAATATTATTTATTACCGGTAAAATTAATAAATATATTTATATATCAAGAAAGATTGGAAGTGCTGGAGTTCTACAGTGCCGCCCCTGTTTATAATTTACCGTTTTGAAAAAACACATGTCTGGAAACGTCTTTAACAGGACTCGGAGGGATGCAATGGGTAGAACTTGTCAGGAAAGCACGTCTCACTTTATTCCATCTAGAATTCTGCCTTTGCACTCTTGATGTCATGGATTCTTCAATTGCTGATTGCTAGATTGACCAACGGAAATGGAACACTAAATAAATAATTTCTTTCATTCTTAGAAAAATATTTTAACAATTTTAGAAATAGAAAAAAAGTTAAAAAATTTTATTTATAAATTACTTTTATTATACAGGATGTCTATGAAATAGACGGCCAAACTTCGATATTGTGTTTTATTATGCCTAAGGAATAAAAACCATCAAACAATCATAGAACTGAAAACTCTTTCTTTCTGAGACATAAATGAATAACGGGGGATTTTTCAAAAATCCTATTGGATCAAACGTTTGTACATAAATATTCTAAAAGGGGAACATATTAAAATACAAAGAAATTGTCGAGAAGGCGAAAATATTTCTTACGATCTACATATATTACAGCGATTTTTCGAAAACTATTAGAGGCAGAAGAATTATGATGAAGGGAGGTTTGTATTATTACAATTACGGAATCTGATTGTACAAACAGATTTGCAAAATGGTATTCTATTATCTGGTGCATTCGTGTACTAAGTATAGAAAGAAAAATATGCTAACCTGTCGTTTAATACGTTGAATAGTAGGCTGTTCTGAATGTACATTTCTGAATAGAGGAAAATTCCCAGCAGAAGTATGTGTACAAGAGGAAAGTGATGAATTGGATTCTGCAGAGGACACACACCTGATATCATCATCGAGTGTAGGTATAGTGACCGTCAGTGTTGGAGTTGGTGTTTTCGATATTAATCTTGCAACCTTCTCATCGACTCCATTCGAAGAATACATCGTTCCACTTTTTTCCTCTGTGCCTCGAATCGCTTGTTTCTCTCGGTCGTCCTAGTTTTTAAATATATTTCGTTTTAATATAAACATATCGCTCATTTCACAAAACACCTAACAGCATGCAATTGAAAATGTTTAGAAGGGCAGAGTGAAAATCCCTTTTTCGCTCCATTCTGAAAACCCACTTGGTTACTTTGTTCAGTATGCAGTACGGCGATACTGCGATCGAGAGATTGGCTACGTCTATTCATGCATTTTTTCTTCTGATCCTCTTTCATTTTCAGATACGAATGTTCTAAATGGTCTGACATATTCTTGGGAGAACCTAGAAGTAAATTATAATGAAATAATCTCGCAAACATCTTGCTGAGAAAAGTATTCGATGACAGCGCCTAATGATCTCGTTTCATACGTTCGTGGAAAACTTCATTTGGTAAAGACGAAGTCCAAGTTCGGCAGAAAGGAGACGTTGTATCAGAGAGTTCTTCGATATAAGACGAAGGACTACTACTGTTCGAATCGCCAGTTTCAGTGCTTGGAACGCTGAGATGCTTGGTCGTTGGTGTCACGGGGGTAGGTGGAGCCGACATAGTTGCAGTTGTCTCCGCGATATCATTCGCGTAAGCCCTTTCCCACTTAAAAGCAGCTTTCACCCGAGTCCATTTTGAAACGTTCGGCGCATTCTTAGGAACACTGTCTCCTGACGTTTGCTTCTGGAAATCGAATTTGCTCCTTGCCCGCCTAGACGATGGCGGTCTTATGTTCCATCTTTGAAACGGAGGCTCTCGACAGTTTGATATCATCGCGTCCAACAAGGAATCGGCGAACCCTGTGTCCTCCTCACAAAAATCGTTGATAAAGTCGTAGTTACTCGTCGAAGCGTCTTCTAATGCGCGATTTGCGTTTCGAAGTACCTTCAACTTCTCCAAGTTTCGAACGCGTTTAAAGAATTTCGAAGTACGTTGCCTGAGTTCCAGGATCTGTTCCGTGAATGAATAGAGGCGGTTCAACTGCTCAAAAGCTTCCTCCAAGCAAAGATTCGGAACCGTTATAGTGGACGTGGTGGAATTCCTCGAAGGGCATTCTGAAGTTTGACTATCAGACAGCGGTGTTTCAAGATCCGCGAAACATACCAGTATGTCTTCGTCTTCCTCGATGTTTCGGGTGTCCATCATTTCTGGTTGGCTTTGGGTGTTCCGTAAATGCCATTGATTCATCCATGGATCCGACAGTGGAGTTGGTAGACGAGTTTCATCTATTTTATCCTTTATCGTGGGCATCATTTTTTGCTCGGAAGTCAAGCGATTCGCGTTTGGTCGTTCAATATCTTTTTCGATTTTCTGCCTGGTATAATCCGAGATTTTTTCATTATTAGCCATTTGACATTAGAGTCAACATATACGTTTCATATATCCGGTGTATGTTTCGTAATCTGATTCTGGAACAGTTGTTACCAACAATTGTAAAAAATTGTATAATTAACAATTTCACGGTTGGCTCATACAGTCACATAAGGCTAATGATTCCTATACGAGAGATCACACAAGGACAAATTTCAGGCAACGAGTAACACCGTTGTTGTTTAAGTCGAACTTCAGGTGCACGAAACGAACTACCAAGAGCACTAATCAGCTTCTTGTATCACTGTTTCATTACGTGTAGACGATGTTCCGCGAAGCTCTCTCGGCACTGATTTAAGTAGAAACGGAAAGTCAATGCAATTTATTATATAATCGTTTATCCTGAAACTGGTACTGTTAGCGAAAATTCTCCAAGTGCAAGGATAAATGATCTTACAGCGAATAATTTGGAAGTACACGTTGGGAATGCATTTTTTATGTTCAGTGGCGTCAACAGAGTCACGGAAGAAATGGTCTGAAATCGTATCGGCGTCCTCGCATGATTATTTTCGGTAGTGAGCGCTCGGTATTCGCATTTCCAGCGAATACGAAAGCGTTATTCTTGAGATGAAGGCGTTCCTTGCTCGAAGAGCATGCGCGAGTATACTTGCGGTAGTCGAATGGAAAAGCGGATGAGCTTCCTGTTCTTGTCGAAAATAGACGGCGAACAGACGGCGATCTAACCCTACCAAATGCCCACTTGGACTTGTATTTATACGCGTCTGAATACTTGAGGCTATTACAATTACCTTCTTTCGTATATTTCCGTTTATTTTCATTTCACCACAACTATGCGAGAACATTCATAACGACCCATAGAAACCGATACACGATACACTTCTAATTATATCTTTCATAATTATTAGGTCATTCCACAAGTAATTCCTTCCTTTTTATGCCAACTTGTAATGTAAAAAATTAATATTTACATTCTTTTTTAATCTTCAATCTATTGACAATTGTTTTGTACGACCTTTACCAATTTTTCGATTAATATTTTTAATTCTATAATATATTTGTGTTTATTACACTTCATTACATTGTCATTTTAATTTCATTAATTGCTTTAATTTACTAGGATAAGTTCACAAAGTAAACATTAATATTTAAATACTTTCGATAACTTAATATATCTTGCTAACAGCGTAAATAATAATGGATTTAAATCTTATACTGAAAATACATCCGAGCATATACACATGTACATATATTAAGCGAATATAAAAATTTTTGTGAGTTTTAAGTGATTCGAACGATTATTATAGGTATATAGAAAAAATAGTCTTCTTAACACTTTGCATGCGAAAGACTGTGATCAAAGAGCATATCTCAAGGCGGTCACCTATAAAGTGCTAATATATTTTTAATGTACTTATACAGATATTATGTCTCTCTAAAACTGTATTACTGTCAATTATTATTCATCATTCGTTTAAAGAGGTTGTTATACCCAGTTTATTTTATCAAGATTAAGTTCCTACATTTAAACAGAATAATTTTTACAAAAATGTGAATTATACGGAGATTGGTGAATTCACATGATATTAAAAAATATTAATTTATTAAAGAGCAGGGGTTTCGTAATTTTTATTAGATGTTTGGCAATTCTTCAAAATGACACGATGTAATTTTTGTGAGGTTATTTTTATTATTTATTAAACTATTTTATATTTTCCAATGCACAATCAGTTTC